TAGAGAACATAAAAATGTAGAGAACAATGGTCATAGCTTCAAGTGTCAAGGCAGTGTTTCAGATAGCAGAAAAATATAATACGAGATACGATGTACTGTAGTTTTAATTTGTATTTATATAGGTGAGCTTTTTGACTTCCCTCAATCCAATAAAGCCACAAAGTATTAAAAAGATTATTTTTTATCATAGGGTATACTGTAACTTAGAGTTTTAGAAACCTTTTGACAAATTCATAGATAAAAGACATCAGATGTCACTTTTCATTTCCAGATGTTGTAGATTGAAATTTTGTACAATTTCTCTGGGAACAATGACATTTCTTGAATTGAAAGTGTTTAATAAAACAAAATAAAAGAAAAAAATCTTTCCTTAATAGCCTTCATGCGGCTAGGGATTTAGCGCAGCAGCACAGCGCCTGCCTGGCAAGCACGAGTTCATGAGTTCGAGTCTGGTACCGAAAAAAAAAAAATAGCCTTCATTCTCCCTGTGATTCCTAAGTATATATTAACTAGTTTCAGATGTCCTCCATTCGCTACCTCAAAACCAGCCTTTTATTTTAAAAAAAGAAATTGTACAATTAGTACTTAATTGCTTTGGGTATTTTGAGTATATATAGGAGAGGGTAACTCAAAGGCCAGAGAAATTGAACTCTCACAATGTTCTTCATACATGTATAATTTCTTTTTGAAAAATAGATTCCAAAGGGAGGTCTGACAACCCAGAAATAGACATGGGTTGTTTTTATACATTTGAAATAATAACAATGAATTTTTAAAGATTTAAAAAATTAGCATCAATTTTATCTGTGACTATAGTTTTTTAGGTATTTTTAGAGTTATACAGTAAAGAATATCACCAAAGGGCTCGAAATCAAGCAGTTATCATGCTATCTCCTCTTCACGGAGATGTGGTCTGAATAATACCGGCAGGTAGTCAGCTGCTGATCCCACAAGAAGAAAGTGAGAACTCACCCAACATCACACATCACAAATATTACGCAGGATCAGATTTAAATATTTGCTATAATTAAGACAAGCATACAGTCTACCTGGACAAAGTAGAACTTGGTTGACATGAGCTCTTGCCTCTTACCTATCCAAGAGATCCTGGTCCTGGTGGATAACTTCTCTAGTTCACTTTTACTAGCTCTTGCCCTGACAAAGTAGAACCTGGTTGACATGAGCTCTTGCCTCTTACCTATCTGAGAGATCCTGGTCCTGGTGGATAACTTCTCTAGTTCACTTTTACTATGTATTATACATAATATATGTATTATGTATGTTTGACTAGTATTCCCTAAGACTTACCTAGTTCAGAATTACAGTTTTTCATGAGGTACCCATTCTCTGAAACTTTACATTTTGTCTATCAGGAAGCTAACAAGTCCACTTTTAAGTGATAATACTGTCATATTTATTATGTTAGCAGTGAACACTTGAACTGTGACTTTAATAAACTTTGTAATTATGAAATATTTGGGGTTCTTAAATATATTCCTTAAATCAGAAGAGTGTATGTCTGCAGTATTCACTGAGTAAGATAGGTTTACAGAACTTGAAAATTGATTTGAGGAGGGAATTATACTCAAAGTAACTGTCCATATTATTGCCCCCTCCTTCTAATACTATTCTCGTTTATTTTCTGAATCTTGATCTTTTTTCTTGAAAAAGCTCAAGAGATTACTTAAACATTTAGTTTCTACTTGGAAAATTCAAACAATCATTAAGTAACCATACTTGGTTCACATATCTGAAAAGTATTGAAAGAACCTGTGTGTAGTGCATGATTCTCAAGGAAAATATAAAATATAGATCTATGGAATATAAACATCTGAACGGATCAGCTGCCCTAGAAGAAATTGGAAGAGTGACCAAAGAGCTGCCCAGAAGTAGCACCAGACAGAAATTGAACTTGAGGGAGAATTCTGTCCAAACTTTTTGGTTTTTTTTTTTATTTTGTTTTGTTTTTCTCCAGTACCGGGAACCGAACTCACGACCTTGCGCTTGCCAGGCAGGCGCTTTGCCGCTGAGCTAAATCCCCAGCCCCTGTCCAAACTTTTAAGGAGTAGATAAATCCAATGTTATTGCAATACCAGTAGTAAAAGAAAAAAAGGAAGAAATTTTCCTGTCAGTGTTAAACAGAGGGATGCAGTCTTTTACTTTATAATTGGGATGAACCTTAGCTTCAGATATTTTAGTCCAAAAGTAAAAAATGACAGCAGGAATTACCAAGTAAAACCTTGAAATTTTGGCCAAGTGTGGGGCCTCTGTGCTTTTGTTTGTTCACAGGGAGTTAAATCAGGAAAGAAAAGTTTTGCCAGTCTGGATAGGCTTTATTGACAACATGAGTATTCTTTAAAACGCATTTATGTTTTATTCATTTGTCCTTTTTGAACATTACATGTGTGTGGAACTAATGTTGGTGGTGAGACTGGGACAGATAGGACATTAAAAATGAGAAGGAACTCTTGTCCTCAGAGCAGCAGTGTGTGGTCCAAGCACAGCAGTACAAAGGAACACAGAAAAAATAAATTAGGAGGGAAGTGACATGGGCTCACAACCAGGGTATATAACTTCAAGATCCTGAAGTTAGAACTCTGACGTATCAGCCAAAATCTAAGCCTATACACAATACTTTGAACAGAGAAATCTTTCAATATGTGGGGGGCCAAGAAGGAAACATAGTGCAAAAGGCAAGAAATCAGGCCAGGTGACTGGAGCTGACCTTCAGAGTCTGTTAATGGGGTAGTCAGTGATAGGAACATCTGTGGGACATAGAAGGTGAAGAAAGCCAGCTCATCATAAGTGGTATTTCTTATCCACTCACTGCTCTTTCCTCTTAACTTTGCCAAGTTTTCCCCCTTCTCCTTTCTTAGGAAACCTAGAATGAAAGAAGTCATGTAAAGGTTGGAACAGGAGACAAGGCAGACAGTTGAGTAAATAAACATTTCAGGTGCTTGGAATAACCTCTTCTTATAAAACTAGAAGTCTTATTTCACTGGTAATGTACAGACTTCTAGATGGTATTTTTTGGGTACAGTTCTTCTTGGATCAAATTAATATCCAATGAAAGAGCAGAATGGAAGGAGGGAGTGAAGGAGGTGGAGATAGAACATGAGAATATGAGTGAGAATGAAAGAACCAAAAAAATACAGTGATATTTTCAAGTTCTCTATAAAAAAGATGCAAAAATTCCCTAGCCTCATTTAATGTTTTATGTTCAGGTTTTGCGGTTTGGGTTTTTAAATTTTCATGTTAAGGAAGTCATGCAGTTTAAATGGTAGGTATTGTACTAGTAATTTCAGTACCACGAACAGGAGTGTACATCTGCTTTTAAAGGGACTTTATTGTGTGCATTTGGATTGCTTGATGACCTTTGAAATTTTGTTTTGAGCTGCTGTCAGAAACATAATCATTTTTCTTTCTGAAATAGATTTTAACATGTACAGAGGTTGATCATGCTAGGATAATTTTAATAAAACATTAATCTACCTTTCTTAATGTCAGCCCAGCTTGTAAGACTGTTCATCATCTATCTAAAACATCAGCTCAAGGCACTGGAGTTGATTTCATTAAATGCCTTCCCCATTAAACATTCTAGTTATGGTCATAGCAAAGTTAGATGACAGAAATTTTTCCAGTCTTATTTTCTATAATCCAGTTTCCAAATCCTCTTTTTTTTTAAGTTAATAGTAATTTGTGTCACATAATCTCAGGTTAACTTAAAAGTTTTTAAATTTCAAAGAGGCGAAGATGGTTCCAAATTCTGGCCTCCATGCTTTAAAATCTGGACAGTCTAAAGATACCGAATTTTATCAAAATTGAGCTTAAGTATCTACTTTAAATATGTATCTTGTCATTAAGAGGTTATTTATGTGTAAAATGCTGACCTTTCAAAATGTACACAAGAGTGTTCTAAAACAGAGTTTCTGAACATTGGCCATGAAGCCACTGTCTTGGGCTGACAAATGGATTGGAAATAAGCTACCCAACACTGGGAATGGGCCATTAATTTTAATCAAAGGTGATGCGAGAAGGCGAATGGGATGCATGGCAATGTCAACAGCCCAGTAGGTGTTAAGAGACCACACAGCCTTCCTTGTTACTTGGTTGGGCCATTAGTTGAGGTTGGGTGAAGACAGAAAGCCATGTCTGGAATTGAATGACCAGGTCACTTCGAAATCTAATGGAGAACTCCCCATTTCAGAAATCACATTGTAGTGCCATTAGAAGTCAAGGACAGCATTTAGAAAACATTGTTTTTTTTGTTTTTTTTTTTTTTTTAAATTAAGGACCTTGTTAGTTTTTTCCAACTTTGTCAGGCTTCCCGTTTTCCTACCTGCGTTCCTTCTGGGTAGATTGGTGATATTTACAGATGATCAAGAAATCGAACAGACTAAGGAAAAAATTGCAAAGCCTATTTGCTTTTCAGAATTACATACTTAGTTTAAAATCCTAGTAAATACTAGAAATACTAGTGTACCAAAGGAGTTAAGCAGGGTAATTAATTCTTTGCAGTGATCCTGTTGTCCTTGTCCTTTTCTTGTGTGTAGGAATAGTTTTCCTAGTTGAAACTAAATTTTCTTATTGATTTAATGCAAGTATTTGTCTCATAATTGTAAAGGTCATGATCCTCATGCTTTACTGTAAAGTATCAATATTGGCCAGTAACATTAGTGATATTCATGGTAATGAAATATTTTATCAGTAAGTATATTTCTTGTATATATCTTTGAGTATTTTGAGTTATAAAAAAGGTAGCATATGACAACTTGCTGTTTACAGTAAGGGCATAAAATGCAAACAGGACAAAGAAGCATTTTTATCTGCTTCAGGTTTGTTAAGAAAATTCATTTATTCTGACACAGCATTGCATGCATAAGAAAGATATGTATGACTACATTAGTAACTTTTGTACATATCCAAGAAAGAAAAGCAATTATATTGCTGTCTTGTTAATGGGATATTGTTATAAGTAATAGTATTTGTTCTTTCTCTAGATGAAGATCAGCTCCGTGCAAAGGGTTACGACAAAACACCAGACTTTATTTTACAAGTACCAGTTGGTAAGTTCCTAAACTCTGTTATTCATTTGTTTGTAGAGATAAGGTTTTTCCATTCCTTTTTAAAATATGTTAATATTAGAAAATGTTTCCAAAGTGTATTAGCTTTATAGTATTGTTTCTAAATGGGTCAAATGGTTGGAAAAGATTATTGTAAATACCAGAAAATAATAGATTCAGAAGAAATTTATGTCTTAAAAAGTTTTCCATATAATTGAGAAATGAATATGGAGTATGGCTTCTTCTAATGTCAGCTGCCATTTTCAACTCCTTTCTCTAAATTGTGAATTTTTCAGAGAGTTCTGTTGAATAGATAGGCTTGCTCTGATTTGCGTGGCACATTCCTGGTCAAGTTAGAGAATCACAGTCTTGAAGTAGGAAAAGGACTCTTGGAGAATGTGATGAAAACAAAAGGAATGTGACTGCAGTGTGAATGTTCTTTGTGATGAGCGTATACCATGCCGTGTTTTATAATTACATCCAGAGTTGATGGTGAGGGCTAAACCTCTGCTCATTATTGTGAAACGTGGAGAGGCCTCTGCAGAGTTCAGAATTTTCAATCTTCCCTCTCTTCACCATATATTAGTAATGCTTTGTCCCTTAGCTGTAGAAGGGCACATAATTCACTGGATTGAAAGCAAAGCCTCATTTGGTGATGAATGTAGCCACCACGCCTACCTGCATGACCAGTTCTGGAGCTACTGGAATAGGTAAGGTCCCATTATTTTCTGTTAAGATAAACGATACTCAGCTGAAATCTCATTAGAAAAAATATTTTGTTTAGCTGGTAAAAATGCTAGTAGCCTTTTTTTGTAATAAATATAGTCTTGATTAATGTATTAATTTCAGATAATTTAAACTTCTCTGCTTTCATAATGTTGCTTCATTTTTTAAAACTAAAAATATCTGTCTAAGGTCAAAGTTATATATACTCTCATATATTACTTTGATAATATTGGTGCATTTAAAATATGTATAACAAGATGTGATGCATATTATAAACACTGAATTTTTATCCCTTTGATGTGAAATGTGTACTTATTGTCAGATCATAAAAATAATTATTTCAGCTGAGGAAAATACCAGATGATTTGAAAGATGAAAATGATTTAGCTTACAACAATAGAAAACAGCTCCAAAGAGATGTGGCTCTCAGCCATTGTGAAAGGGTTAAGGGTGCCCAGATCTGAGATTATTTCAGTTAATCCTCACAAGGAAGTTATTTTTGTCCCCATTTTATAGGTAACTAAACTGTACTCAAAGGGAGAAAATAATGTAGGATTCAGCTAGTTACCATGGGCCTGCTTTTCTCTGACTCACTCCCAAACCCAAGTTCTTTCCAGCACGGTATTGTTGTCATCCGTAATACAACTGTTGAAACTTCAGCCTGTTCTAAGATTACACGTAAGTTTTCACACCGTGTATTTTTCCCTCTTAGAACATTTATTTTTCCCTTTCTAGATTAACTGTTTTCCTAAGTCAAATGCAGTAATGAGATGACATTGGCCCTGAACATTAAGGAAAGAGAAAGTAGATATGTAGACAAGAGCTTCGTCCTAAAGTGGGGGTAGTGGTCGGTAGTGACAGGCTACAGAATTTAGTATTATATTGTTGCTCAGCTTTACAAAAGGCCGGCGGACATCGCCCGTAGCAGCTGTGCTAAACTAAGCCTACTTTTTGCCATGGTAACAATGATCATGACAAAATGCTGAATGTAATGGCTTTCTTGATTTTCTTGTGTAATTGCGCGTGGCATCCGAGCTTTACTTTACAGGGATGGAGGAGGAAAGTGCAAAATGTTTTAGAAATCAATGCTGCTTCAGCATTTCCTGTGTTTTATTCAGCCATTATTCAAATTAACAGTAATGTGCCAAATGGAATTTTAGATTTTTAGCAATTTTATGATGAGTTTGAAATAGTAAAGAAAGCATCATTTATAGGGAAAGCAATGACAAGAAAATCAAATTGCATAAGTTTAGGTTGCTAAAGGATTAAAAAATACTGATAGAGTAAATCAGTATGCACTGAGTCTTTTTTCCCATTTGGTACTGGACAAGTCTTTTCTCAGAAACAATTACAAATTGAATCCCAGATAGCAGAGCTTACTGAGAAGTTCCCAAAACATATCTTCATTCTAGAATAAGTCAGTTGTTTATTGAGAACTACTGTGTTCCCAGCACTCATCATTTACAGCCATGTTAAATAATCTAATCATCTGTGTGATAGACTTACAGATTATTGTCATGGCCGGAGGGGGTCTGAGTGATGGATAATTTAATACAGTTTCCTTTGAGTAAGATTTTAACATTTTGTTGCATTCTACTTTTTCCACTCTAATGACATTTTACTTAGACTATTATTGATTTACATTCCCTGAACATATTTTTTGAATATGTACCAGCCAAATAGGCATGAATTTATGTAGGGCATGTTGGGTGATAAGGGAACAGCAGCCTTGATTTAAAATGGCCCCAGTTATTCAAGAAGGAAATACTGTACACAGAAGTCACTGACATTACCAAATGTCTGCAGAGAAGTCTCAAAAGGCAATAGTGCCTCAATTCAAAATGGAACATGGGTGCAGTTCCTTGGATATACATTTGGGTATAATAAGAAGGTGGACTTAGCAGCGATGGGGCGTTCTGATGGAAGAGGATGTTAGCCCACTGTGGCAGTGAGGGATCCTACTTTCTTCATATTTGCATCAACAGAACTCCCAGAGCAGTTGATGAAGTTCTTCACTGTTGAAAGAATTCTTTCCAACCTGTAGATGGACTTTCAAGGAAGCTCCTTGTTGGTGTTGGGCTGTTTCATTCATGTAATCAGGCTCCAGCTAACCCAAAAACTAGTGTTATCTAATTGGGGCAGATTTTCAGATTAAAGATTAGACCTTATTATAAGGTAGTTCAATTAATATTTGTGGAATAATGCTTTTGTATAAACCATTTTCCACACAAATAAGTGCAGAACCCCTAATTTTTAGACTATCTCTGCTATAAGAAGTATCTTCCATAGTAAATTGATATTCTTATTCACTGTCCAGCAGCTTTGATATAGGGACTCATTCCTTCTCTGTATTAAAGCATTTTCTTGCTCCTGTGTTGTTGCTTTTCCCTGGGTGTCCTCCTGCACTGCCAGCAGCACACTGTCTCCTCAGCTGGCTCTTCCACCTTTTCTCAGTATCTAGGCTGCAGCACTCAGTGCCCGCCCATCTCCCCCACCCCACCTTCTTTAAAATCTACACTCATATCCTAGCTGGTCTCGGGGGGGTTCACTGGTCTTGTAGATTTGTCTACCACCTCTTTGTTTCTGTCTCCTACTTTTTATCCCCAGCTCTAATGTTTCCCCTGAATGATTTGTCCACTTAGTACAGTGCCTCCTTTGGGTCTCAAGTAGGTAACTCAGATTTAACACGTCCAAAACTAAACTCTCGAGTATTCTTCCCAAGCTCGTTATTTCTCATTCCTCCCCAGCTCAATCAATGGTGCTACCATTTACTCAGTTACTCAATTCAGAAACCTGTGTTTTACGCATCAGCAAATTCATTCAGCTCTGTCTGTCCTCACTATGTCTTGAATAGTGTCATTTTTTGCCACTTCAACTGCTTTGTCTTTGCCTCTGTTATTACCTCTGGGACAGTTGCTCTAGTGTTCAGACTGACCTCCTCAGATCCACTCTTGCAGCCCTGCAGTGCGTGTTGATACCCCTGTCTTAGAAAACAATATTATATTACTTTCTTGCTCAAAACTCTTCAGAGCCTTCTCTTCACATTTAAAAATAAAATCTAAAACCCTGTGATATTTAGGGCGCTGTGCATGATCTGCTTCCTGCCAGCTTATTTATTTTCTCCCCTCGCCTCAGACTCTTTCTCTTTGACTTCTTCTTCCACATTGGTTTTCCTAGTGTTCCTTGAATGCTATTTCTTATCTCTGATTCAAGACTCTTACTCTGCCTAATCCTTCTGCCTGGAATTTTCTTTACCGAGATCTCCACATAACTTTCTTCTTACGGCGTTCAATCTCTGTTTAAATTTCCATTCCACTCCTGTCTACCCAAACTAAGCTGTAAAGCCCTCAGGTATCTCTCTCTGTCCTCCTTGAGTTTTGCTTCTCTTCATCCTTACCCGTATCTAAATGAGTGACAAGAATGTCATTGAGAACATTTATATAAACACCAATTTGCTTGTTTGAGTGAAAACCTTTAAAAGAACTCTCCCTTTTATATGGTGCTTTTTGCAAGTTTTTTTGTGTAGTGTATTCTTCTTTGCTTTGTTATCAAAACTTCAGAAACTTACCCTGGCTTAATTTGCTTTGAAAAAAATTTAAACTTGTGCAGTGGTGTCTCCATTCCAAAATCAGATATACTGATGATAATACCTGAAGTGCCTTTGCTACATGCAAACCCCCATCGTGCGTATGACTAAAGGAGTACATAATTTCTCAAAACTGGACTTTCTCTTACAGAGCTAGAAGACATAGAGTGCCTCTGAGAAGCAGCCTGGAACAAAGAGCTCTAAATTGTATCAAGCTGCTAGAAAAAATATTTTCTTATAAAATCAACACATATAGCCTTCTTGCTCTATTTACCTAATCAGAAAATGAGTTATTTGACCTATATTAGCTGCTATATTTTTATCAAGGCGATGACAGACAGAGGAGGAACCAATTCTGCAATTTAAGGCCAGTTTATACACGTGGGCTCTGATATAGGGCCTTTCAAAGAAGCAAAAGACACTCTGTGGTTACTTTTGGTAATTGGAAAAAGAGTTTCAATAAAAATACTGAAAAATGTATCAAACTTACCCTTCTTCATGGCAGAGTAGTACTCCATTGTATAAAAAAATCACATGCACCTTGAGACCATATTCTTAATTGAAATAAATTAGACACACGTAAAAATACCATATTATTTCTCTGGTGTGAGAAGCCAAAAGTGTAAATAAGGACGAAAATATATGATAGATACTGTGAAATAAGAAGAAAATGTTGACTGTTCTTATTCCAGTGTGATAGAAAAAGTCAAAGAGAAAGAGTCTGAGGTGAGGGGAAGGGAAACATGGGAGAGGGGAGTGGAAAAGGAAGGAAGGGAAAAGAAAAAAAATGAGAAAGGAGAAAAAAAATGGAAACAAAGCTTTCTTAAATGAGGGGAAGGGAATTTGAAGGGAGGGGAGGGGAATGGGGAAAAAAAGGATCAAATTATATCATGTACAGATACAAATTCTCTATGATGAATATGATCATTATGTAGATCTAAAATGTACCAATAAACTTAATTTTAAAAATAAAATTTTAATTTGGTATAAAAAATACTGAGAACCAAATGCTACAAAGCACATAAAGAGTACTGCCCAACAACTAGTGATCAAAATATGGAAATCACAACAAGTTTAGCCCCTCCCTGGAACGCGTCAAGGGACAATCAGGCACATGGTCGTCAGTCGTGTTTACTGAAGACCCATGTGCACTCTGTAGATGCACCTCCCTAAGGAGGGGTGTGCTTACCAGCTGGAAAGAATGAGGTAAAGTTTTGTTTGAGTATGAGTTTTCAATTTAGTGATCCTTAAAGTAATGGAAGCGATATGGGGTGTGAATCCAGGTCATGCTACTTTCTGGTCCTATGACTGGAGGAAGTTTGCTTAGCCTCCCTAAGCCCTTGTTTTCTCTTCAATAAAATGAGCTTAATAATACCACGCTTGCCCTGTCATCGTGAA